TCATCAGCATTAAGAATGAGGAAGAGAAACTCAGTTCATTTACTTTAATCTACAGCTCTGAAAAGCAAAGCCTGCATGTTAGCTTCTTGAAAGGCATCTTTAGCAGCCAGCGTAAACGATGATTGAGCTAGTAATCAAATGAAATACATGAAGCATTTTGAAATGCTCTTAGCAGAGTGTGTATGAATTTTCATTATTAGGTTTAAATGACTGTGGTCATCAGGCCTTCAATAATATTCATTGCTGCTATAATGAGTGCGTAACTAGTAAACACACACCTTTAGTTTTGCTCCTTATGTGGGTCACGATCACTGCTGCAGTCATGATGAACAGACCAACAGCAATGAAAGAGGAAAAGCAGATGTAGGATAAAGATAGTCCTTCCTCGTGATGATCAAAGACTGCAAGGAAATGCAATGACAGTCAAAATATGTTTTGGCTTGTATGCACTGAAATATAGTCTCATACTGACACTCCAGTGATCAGCTGTATCTTGCTGTATTAATGTATGTTTTTTAAATGGCTAATTATGCGTCCTAAACATCAGATGAGGGTGAAAGAGAGTTGGGGGAGAGAGAGAGAGAAAAAAAAAAATTTTAAAATAGGAAAATGCAAACCTTTAGCAATATTGTATGATCTTTGGAGGGATGTAACGTCTAAACATAGTTGCAGAGATGTATTTGTTTACCTGATCCACTGTAATTGTAGGTCTGGCTGCGCAGGTTCCTGACATCTAAACCAAAATCAAATTCATGCACACAGGTGAAGGAAGCAGGTGGACTCGCTGTGACCAGAAACACACATATTTCTGAAGAATCTAGAGAAGAGCGTTCGAGTAGTTCCATGGTGTAGTTCAATTCACTCTCCACAGACAAATTGAATGACTGAAATATGTATCTCCTTTCAAACATTTGGGCAAACTTGCACAGCACGATCACATTCTCTCTGTCCTCCATCTGTCGGTACACTGTGATGTTGGGGTCTGGGACATCTGAAACTGGAACACATCAACATGCTGGTGAATGGAAGGGAGGCCAAAAGGGAGCCAAATAATGCAAAGTTGTTGTTTTTAGAAATGTTATTAATGCTGCTTTTAAATTAATCCTAGTGTTTTGGTTTACTAAAAGACATCAACAATAATAAAAACAACTAGCAAGAATCACTTCAGCTTAAACATGATAAACATTTATTGTATTTCAAGAACCTTTAATGCAGTTAAACAAAATTTGTTCATACTCTCATATTCCTCAGTGATGTCTCCAATGTCTCGAAAGTCCTGTCAGGCAAAGGAACATAAAAAGATTATAAATGTAAAATGATTTGTTCTATTCTAGGGCTGAGAAAAGACATACAACCACATCCGCTGAAAACCAATCGTATAGGCTGTCTGTAAGCATTTCATCATTCAAATCTTCTGATTCTTGACATTTCTCTGGATAAACAGATGGCAATAGTTTATTATTAATATATGATTTACTCCCTGTTCACATTGTGGAGTAAAATATAAAACATGGGAGAAAATGTTGTACTTACGTGAAGCTAACATTACAACCAGCAAAAGGGCATGTGAAAGGAGCTTCATTGTGCATCAAACGATGATCCTTACTAACACAGTGTGCACTCTATAGTTCAGTTTCACTTCCTTTATATTTCCTGTGTTAAAGTGTAGTCCTTGTCATTTGTATAATGAGGAATGTCCTAAACCGAAACATGGATGAAAAAACCAGATTTTTACATTTTATAAAGCAGTGTATGGTGCTTATACTTTGGACTCTAAGAAGTTGTGAATAACTTAAATAAGAAATGAAACACAATTAAGTGACGATAATAAACCAACAAGTGTTCAGAATCAGAAGAGCGACTGCTACAGTGGTTTAGCAGACTTCCTGTTATGCAGACTGGAGCGGTGTGGATTAGTTGTGGATTATTGTGATGTTTTTA